TTGGCCAAGACTAATTTCAGATACATTGTCATCCTGAAGGGGTGGTTCATTAATCTTTTGGGTTTCTATTAAAAAGTTGTAAGCAGTTAATATCTAACATTTTGGTAAATCAAGTATATAGGCATCTTTATCTTATAAATATATACATTTAGTTATAGAAATTCCAATTAAATTTTGGTTAATTGTTCATTTTCTCCCATTTAGATCATAGGTTTCAATTGAAAGGCAGAACCAACACAGCAGGAAAACAGCTCAAATATACAGAGTTTACACAAAAGAGACTCGAACTACGTGGACAGAAATACTTACAGTACGGTTATATTCTTTCTTGGAGGGCTTTGCATTCATTCAAGGATGATTCAGTTTTGCAGATGAGGGTTACATATAAAGTTCTTCCAGACATCAGGTTCTGTAAACATCAGTTTTTGTTTCTTTCTAAATTTAGCTCCTACTCTTGCAACCAAATCTTTCAAAATATCCCCTATTCAAACACTGTTCCTTGTTTCACCATGTAAAGGAGATATTTTACATAGCTAATGTGGTGAGTAATTACGGTTGACCAGTTTGCAATAAAACTTGTCCCATTATATAGACCTTAAAGCATGCCGTAAAAATTCAAAAAATATCCACTGGACTTGGTTTCCAAGATTTGAAGACGTTTCGCCACCTCTCCAGGAAGCTTTCTCAATTCAAATGTCTGGATCCGCATTGAGTTTGAGTCGTATAGCAATAAAGCAATATCTTATAGCATCTTATAGCAATATAAGACTCAAACTCACTGCGGATCCAGACATTTGAATTGAGAAAGCTTCCTGGAGAGGTGGCGAAACGTCTTCAAATCTTGGAAACCAAGTCCAGTGGATATTTATTTTTTACGGAATGACTATGACCTGGATGACTGAGAATCTTCATCAGCACCTTAAAGCATGATGCACTACTTCTCTTTTCAATAACAGGCAACATTTTGTCCATATTAATTAAAATAAATATAGAAAAATATATATTTCTAGAACAAAATCCAGTGTAATCTTTACATTTTTATTAAATAATGAATCTTCTCATAACAGGTGGTGAAATTAAGTATCCTGAACATGTAAAAGTTCATAAAGCCCTTTTGTTCAACTTCACTTTCACTGATATTATACATCAAAACCTCCTTAAAGACCTATTGGAGATACCCTAGACTAGACAAAGCCGAATCAGGAACTTTTACCCCAAGGGTATTACAAAATGTATCAAAAACTGTAAAGGATCTAGAACAGGCCCTTGTGGAACCCCGGATGGGCATGTAATTCATCTTAAGTATATCTACCTAAATTTCATGGGTTGCAGCTATTAAATAATGTATAAACCATCCAACCACTTCATTTAAAAAAAGATTATATGTAAGTCATCAAAACCAAATGGGAACTTTTTCTGGTGTGGTAATAAAAAACTCTACATCATGATAAATCAAAGTTCTTCTATGAATAGTTCGCTACTTACACAGTTCTACAGAGAAGCTAAAGATTGTTTGCCCATGACACGGAGGCTGGAAATAGTACATGTTATGCAAATGGAACATGTGAAGAGGTTTTGATTTCTGATATAAAAGTGTACTATATGAATGGCGAAATTATTACAGTAGCTTTAAACTTTATGCTGTTTGGTTTAACTATTAGAAAATAACTTATGGCTTTATTGCTTTGCATCTGCTGCTCTCAACATTCCACATTGGGAAACCATTAATGGCAAAATGCTTCCAACCTCCATTTTCTGTGTGAATGGTCAATTATTTCTATGTAAAGGACAACAAAAGTAAAAAAATGATAAAGGTTTAAAGGTTCTGTGACAGACTGGTGAAGTACCCCGCCTTTTACCCACAGACTGCAGGAGATAGGAACCAGTCCCATCACAATCCTGCATATTCTACGGTTCTACTTTACCTCAACTTTTCTCCCCTTTTATCACCACTGAGGAGTCATTTTGAAAAAGAAAAAAAAAAACTCTTCCATTTTTGGTGCAAGGAGTTGATATTTGTCACCCCCTCTTCTTCAACCAGGTCCTGACTGCATTGTAAGACTGTCTCCTCTCCTTTGTCCCAGTGATCTTAATTACAGGCCCTGGGCCCTGAGCAGAGAAGCCCATTTAAATCCAAACACAACCATCTTCCATTATGGGCTTGGCATTTGGTCTTTGTGCCCATGCTTTTAAATTACATGCTGCCAATCCTAGTGGGCACGGGTGAGATGAAGAGCGGAGGATGGGTGAGAGATGAGGTGAAAGGGGGATGAGAGAAAGAAGAGAGAGGAAGGGGAGGGGTGGGGTGAAGCAGGCTTGGAGGGGGCCCACTGGCTTGTACTTCTCGTCAGATAGCTCACCCCTCCCTCTCCTCGTCTGCCCTCTTTATCACCAGATAACTTATGTAAAGTAGCAGATGAAACCCATTCCCATTCACGTCGGCCTGATTGTCAGAATAAGCTTGCATTCCTTTGAAACGTGATTGACCGTCTGAAAGCGTACAAATTAGGGGCCTGTTCGTCTTTTCTTCGGCAGTCTTGGGGTTTATTTGCGGCAGATTCACCCAGGCCCAAAATTAAGTGAACTCAGGCAGGGATGAATGGGAGAGCTCTGATTGAATAATTGATTTCCTTTGTGTGGCCTGTGTTTAAGAAGGATAACTAGACATCCTTTGGAGTGTAATGATTGTAATTACTGCGATGACTGGTCATGTCAAATATGACACAGAAAAGGACTGTTATTAACCTTTATTCTCCACATAGAACAAAAAAAAACTAGCCTAATATCCTCTTGTCTCCCTTGTCTGCATATGGGTTTCACCTTTGGTGAAAGCATGGCTGCTGTAGGTTGAATGCATGGATGAACTTATTGCCTGCCTTGTGCTGCTGTCCCATGAAAGGTAGATGTGTAATTGACTGTGCAGTCGAGTCACTGGTATGTCAATGACTCACACGGTTACTGAGCCTTGGGGTAACTCGCAGCGTACAGTACATCGTGGCTGCAGAATTTAAGTGTAAAAGATAGGCTTTAAAGTCATGTTCATTGGATCTGTCAGATCTCCATACGCCCCGACCTCTTGAGCACTGTGGCCTGAAATGGGCTGTAATACACTTGATGCATTTGAGGGCTTCAGTGAAACAGACACTCATCACGCTGCGATCTGACACAGTCTGCTGAAGTTACTGGACATGTGGTCAATATGAATAACTGGGCGACCGAACAGTGAGCTGTAGAATCATAGAGTCAGAGCTAACCGAACTTTTTTGTTGCATACATAAATAAGAGTAACGCTGCCAGAAATGAAGGACGTAGTCACTTTAAAATCTTTCAGTGCAATGAGGCGCTCAGAAAAGCCTGGAAATGTGTGCATTTTAACTTAAATATTTCCCTGTAGGATTAAAAAAAGCTAATAGAGTAAGGATAATATGATGTATGTATTTACATTATTCTACCTTCTTTTGTTTTTTGTCTTTCTTTTGATCTTTTTTCCATTTTCTCCTTTGTTTAATTTTTTATTTGTCCTTAGTTAATCCTTCCTTTTATAGATCCTTTTTCTTTCCTTCCTTCCTTCCTTCCTTCCTTCCTTCCTTCCTTCCTTCCTTCCTTCCTTCCTTCCTTCCTTCCTTCCTTCCTTCCTTCCTTCCTTCTCTTTTGTGGTTTTTGCAAGTTTGTAAAAGTAATTTAAATACATTACAATGTTAAATTCAGTTATATATATCCACACTAATTTTTTTTTCTTTGAATCTTGACCAGAGAATAAGAGGTCTACTAATGTGAATGTTAAGAGCAATAAAAAAATTAAAAAAAAGATAGTTAAGAAACCTTGCTTTGTTGTATTGCTTTCTGCTGTGTTATGGTTTGGCACAGTAGTGCAGTGCTCCCTGGAGAAGTGGGTATACTCGTACTCTTTTTTTAATGCAGCCCGTAGTTTACCCAAAAGTTTTGTAGTATTTACTCAGTGTCATATAATTTCTGCTGTTTGATCTCCGGAGGGAAGGATTATGAAATAACTTAAGGTTGGCCCACAGACTAGTGAGAAACAATTATGGATTGTGAGTGAGTCCTGAGTCCATCCACATGAATGACACCTTTTCTCTCACTTAGCAAATCAGTGGTTCCTTTTGTAAACTGTCTCTTTGAACAGCTGATTTGCAACAGTTAGTGTGGGCCACTATTAAAATTAACATAACTTAATCAGGTGCAGTTTGTTGGTACTACTGGTCACACAGGCGGTCTGTATGGATATTTAAAAAAAAAAAACAATAAGACAAACATGGTGTTTCAGTTATTTTGTAAAAATTTATCTATGGATAAACTGAAAAGATGATAAACTCTTAAACTTGAAATAGATACTATACGTGATGTATATATCCCTGGCATTCTAAGGGAATGGCCTGATAGGATCAGGATGTAGCACATCTGTTATGATAAAGAAGTATCATAAAGAAATAGAAAGAAGTTCTGAAGTTACTTTGAGTCCTTCGATTTACCAATCTTTACAAACATTTATTTCTAGGAGGATTTCCTGGAGGGAACCAACTGGTAGTAACTTTCTTCTTTGTCTGGCTGGACTTCTTCGAAATAGGGCAAGAAGCTCCAACATCCATGTGAAACTAAACAAATAGCTGCCCCCCCTTCACATAAAAAGGAGTTAGTTGAGGGTGTTGGGAGCTGGAGAAGTACCACCTTTCTCCAGCAGAGTCCGCCGTGGCTCCTCCTGAGCCGAGCCTGCGACGCACCTGTGGCTCGTTCCATCATCAGAGGATCCACACTATAAAAGCTGTCTTCAGACCTTGCCTCGACGCCGCAGTGTTGAATCTCGTTGGTTAGCACCTGAGCCAAAGAACCCTCTGAGAAATCTTATTGCTCTTTGAGTCCTGCTTGGATTCTAATCCTTTTGTCTCTGTTTCCAGGAAACCAGTTTTTCTCCGTAAGCTCTGGAGGAGCTTAGACTGCCGAGCCTGCCCTCTGAGCCAAACCCGAAGACTCTTCTCTGGATTCCCATGCAGCTCAGGATTAAGAGCTGGAAACCAAAAGCCAAGGTCTGCTCCCTCATCAGAAGTAAGACGCTGAAGCAGTTTCTGGACTCTGCTGAAACAAACCTTCTCTGGACCCAACAACTCCTCTCTCTGAGTTCAAACCGGAACCCTCAAGGTATAAATCTGAACATCACAAAACCAAACCCCATTGCTCCCAAGCTAACTGCTCTGTTACCTACACAGACTCCAGTGAACCAGTCCCCAGGCCTGAACCAGTTCCAGTCATATTCCCATGTGCTTGTAAACAATAAACTCTGTTAAACTTTTACTATTGTTTCCGTCTCCGTGGTGTTCTGCATAACTGGGTCTCATCAGTGAACCCATCATGACAGAACACTGCGGCCAAACACAAGGCCCAGCAGATCACCTCCGCCGTCGTTTGGAAGAGCAGGAAGCCCAAATCCATGGACACGCTCTGGCTCTTCGTGAGTTAAATACCCATATTGAAATGCAAAATCAAATGCTTCAGAGCAATGCTAACTACATGAACAGCGCTAACGCCACGCCGGCGGTGCAAACATTTCCGGGTCCAGTTCCACCTCTGAGGTCACCGGCAGTGACGTCATCACCAGAGTTCCGCCCAAGTCTCCCAGAGAAATTTTCTGGTAATATGAAGGACTGCAAGGGTTTTCTATTTCAATGTCGCCTTATTTTTCAGAACTCTCCCAGCAGTTTTTCCACGGATTTCAAGAAAATAACTTTCATTTTGTCCCAATTAACAGGAAGAGCCCTGGATTGGGCTCAGGCAAGGTTTGCCTCTGACGAAAGCCTCAGTTGTCAATATTCAGATTTTGTCTCAGAATTTTCGCAAGTTTTCAACCAAGAAACAGATCAAACTATTGACTCTCGTGCTCTTTTCAATCTCAAACAGGGAAATGCTTCGGTGGCGGAGTTCTCCATTAACTTCCGGGTAAAAGCAGCAGCTTCCGGATGGAATCAAAGTGCGTTAAAGGGGGCTTACTTTATGGCTTTAAACGAAAGCATCAAGGATGAACTAGCAACCCTCGACGAACCTGCAACACTCGAGGAATTAATCCGCATCACAATTAAGTTGGATAACAGAATCCGAGCCAGAAACAGCTCTAAATATAAGAATCTGGGTTCCTTTGCCTCTGCCCCCGCTTCCAATAACGTGACTGTTTTTTCTGCTCCCACAGAACAATTGTCCAAGCTGAGACCAAAGACTCAGTCTCTCCCTTTGCCTGTTCAGGCCTCTCATACTGGTGAGACGGAGATCGAACCCATGCAGGTTGGACATACAAGGCTGACTCCTGAGGAAAGACAAAGACGTTTTCTGAGCAAACTGTGTATCTACTGTGGTGAGAGTGGTCACTTCATCGCTTCATGCCCAGCTAAATCAAAAGCCGGGGCCCGTCAGAGGTTTTGAGGAGTCTGGCGGGCCATGTTAACTCTAAAAAATCTCCTCGTCTGATGCTTCCAGCCACTTTATTTTTCTCTGACCAGAACCTCTCTTTCTCTGCCTTCATCGATTCAGGCTGTGAACGAAACTTAATTGACTCTAATCTAGTCCAGCAGCTTCAGATTGAAACCGTTCCTCTAAACCAGCCTCTATGTGTTTCCGCTATTGATGGGAAGAAACTCCACCAGGTCACCCATCAAACCCAGCCTCTTGAGCTACTTATCTCAGGTAATCATCGTGAAACCATAACATTTTTTGTTTTTCATTCCGCATGTTCGCCTCTGGTGCTTGGCTTTGAATGGTTGGAGAAACATAATCCCCATATTAACTGGACAGATCGTCACGTGGAATCTTGGTCCACCCTTTGTCATGAGACATGCCTCCGTTCAGCAGCTCCCGCTGTGGGGTCCCCTAGAGGTGGGGGGGAGATGGACTCTCCTGACCTTTCTTCTGTCCCTTCCGAGTACCATGATTTGGCTCCTGTCTTCAGTAAGGTCAGTGCTACGTCCCTTCCACCACACAGACCATATGACTGTGCGATTGAGCTATTACCTGGAGCTCCCCTTCCCAGCAGCAGACTTTATAATATTTCCAAACCAGAACGAGAAACTATGGAAAAATACATAAATGAGTCTTTAGCTGCCGGAATAATTCGCCCATCTTCTTCTCCGTTGGGTGCAGGGTTCTTTTTTGTTGGCAAGAAGGACGGTTCTCTAAGACCCTGTATAGATTACAGAGGCCTGAACCAAATAACTATTAAAAATAAGTACCCTCTCCCACTACTCGCTTCAGCTTTTGAACCAGTTCAAGGGGCAACTGTTTTTACCAAACTCCACTTGAGGAACGCTTATCACCTTCTCCGAATACGTGACGGAGATGAGTGGAAAACAGCCTTTAAGACTCCCTTGGGCCAATTTGAATATTTGGTCATGCCTTTTGGTCTAACTAATGCCCCTGCATGTTTCCAAGCCCTGGTTAACGACGTTCTCAGAGACTTCCTGAATGTATTCGTGTTCGTTTACATTGATGACATACTCATTTATTCCAAGAACCATTCCGAGCACAAGAAACATGTCCGCCTAGTGTTACAAAGACTCCTGGAAAATAAACTTTTCGTCAAAGCCGAAAAATGCGAGTTTCATCAGTCTTCAGTCACCTTTTTGGGGTTTGTGCTCGAGGGTGGGCAGATTAAACCTTCAGAGGATAAGGTAAAGGCAGTCTTGGATTGGCCTGTGCCCGAAAATCGTAAACAATTAGAGATTCCTGGGTTTCGCCAACTTCTACCGGAGATTCATCAGAAATTACAGCCAAACAGCTCTCCCTCTAACCTCCCTAACATCAGTCAAGAGAACCTTCCAATGGACCCCCGAGGCACAAACTGCATTTGTTAAACTAAAAACTTTGTTTTCCAGAGCCCCAGTGCTAATCCAACCCGATCCAGCTAAACAATTTATCCTCGAGGTTGACGCTTCCGGCTCTGGAGTGGGTGCTGTGTTATCTCAAAGACTTGACTCAGATCAAAAGGTTCATCCTTGTGCCTATTTTTCTCGTAGACTTTCCTCCGCAGAGCAAAACTACGACGTTGGAGACCGAGAACTTTTGGCCATAAAATTGGCATTGGAGGAATGGAGACACTGGTTGGAAGGAGCTGAGCACCCGATTCTTGTCTGGACTGATCACAAGAATCTTGCTTACATCCAATCAGCTAAACAAGCCAATCCTCGTCAGTCCAGGTGGTCCCTATTTTTCTCTCGCTTCAATCTCATTATTTCCTACAGACCCGGATCCAAGAACGTCAAACCCGACTCTTTCTCTCGTCTTTACTCTGTTGATCAACCCGAGACGCCTGAACCAGTCCTACCAGCATCCTGCACTGTTGGAGTGGTCACATGGGAGATCACCGATCTTATAAACTCAGCCCTTGCTTCTGAACCTGACCCAGGTAACGGTCCGGCTAATCGAACATATGTCCCATCTTCTGTTAGAGCTCGCCTGATACAGTGGATGCATGCTGCCAAATTCTCCGCTCATCCGGGGGTGAGCAGAACAGTAGCTTTAATCTCGAGACGTTTCTGGTGGCCAACTCTACATAAAGACGTCAAGGAGTATGTCTTGGCTTGTGCCACCTGCGCCAGAAACAAAGCCTCTCACCAACCACCTTCAGGTCTGCTGCATCCGCTTCCTGTCCCCTCGCGCCCTTGGTCCCATATCGCTATAGATTTCGTCACTGGTCTACCCATCTCCCGAGATATGTCTACAATCTTCACCATTGTTGACCGATTTTCAAAGTCTTGTCATCTGATCCCTCTTAGAAAACTTCCCACGGCTTTTCAAACCGCCCAGCTCCTGATCAAGCACGTCTTCCGGTTACATGGGATCCCCCAGGAGATTCTTTCAGATCGCGGACCTCAATTCATCTCCCAAGTCTGGAAGGCCTTCTGCTCTGCTCTCAATTGTAAGTCCTCGCTAACCTCTGGCTACCATCCACAATCCAACGGACAAACAGAACGTATGAACCAGCAGCTCGAGTCCACCCTCCGCTGTTTGACTTCAAGTAACCCCACCGACTGGAGTCAGTACATAACCTGGATCGAGTACGCTCACAATTCCCTCAAATCAGCCTCCACCGGACAATCTCCATTCCAGGTCAGTCTTGGCTATCAACCACCTCTTTTTCCCGCAGACGAAAAAGAAATCTCAGTCCAGTCCGTAAACCAGCACATCCATCGATGCCAGCGCATCTGGAGGGAAACCATTTCTGTTCTCAATCGCTCCTCCGAGACAACCAAGCGTTTTGCTGACTCCAGGAGACGCCCGGCCCCCGAGTACACAGTCGGACAGGAGGTATGGCTATCCACTCGGGACATCCCCCTCAAGGGGATGTCTCGCAAACTTTCACCCAGGTACATTGGTCCATACAGGATTACCCAGGTCATCAACCCGTCTGCCATACGCCTCCAATTACCTCCGACTCTCCGCATCCATCCCACGTTCCACGTCTCTCAAGTGAAACCAGTCATCTCAAGTCCATTGTGCCCACCATCCGACTCACCTCCACCCGCCCTGGAAGTCGATGGTCATCCAGCCTTCACCGTCCGCCGGATCGTGGACTCCCGTCGGCGAGGTCGCGGTTGGCAGTACCTCGTCGATTGGGAGGGCTACGGTCCGGAGGATCGCCAGTGGGTTCCTGGCTCCTACATCGGCGATCCCTCCTTGATCGAGGAGTATGAGCGCTCTCTGCCATCGACGTCTTCCGGACCGCCAAGAGGCGGTCGTTGAGGGGGGGGGGTACTGTTGGGAGCTGGAGAAGTACCACCTTTCTCCAGCAGAGTCCGCCGTGGATCCTCCTGAGCCGAGCCTGCGACGCACCTGTGGCTCGTTCCATCATCAGAGGATCCACACTATAAAAGCTGTCTTCAGACCTTGCCTCGACGCCGCAGTGTTGAATCTCGTTGGTTAGCACCTGAGCCAAAGAACCCTCTGAGAAATCTTATTGCTCTTTGAGTCCTGCTTGGATTCTAATCCTTTTGTCTCTGTTTCCAGGAAACCAGTTTTTCTCCGTAAGCTCTGGAGGAGCTTAGACTGCCGAGCCTGCCCTCTGAGCCAAACCCGAAGACTCTTCTCTGGATTCCCATGCAGCTCAGGATTAAGAGCTGGAAACCAAAAGCCAAGGTCTGCTCCCTCATCAGAAGTAAGACGCTGAAGCAGTTTCTGGACTCTGCTGACACAAACCTTCTCTGGACCCAACAACTCCTCTCTCTGAGTTCAAACCGGAACCCTCAAGGTATAAATCTGAACATCACAAAACCAAACCCCATTGCTCCCAAGCTAACTGCTCTGTTACCTAC